GGACATATTCTTCTTTAACTTGGTCTGTCGGGGCCCCTCCATCTGATATGTGGATCGGAGCTTGTTGTGGCCAACATGCCTTTTTTCCAGGTTCTACATAACAGCCTGCACTAAGGGTTTTAGAATTATATTTTTCTGATCCTATTACCTGAGTATTAAGGGTCCAATCCGAGCCCCCAGAGGCCGTTTTATAAGAAATGGCCGTGGAGTAAAAATACAGGGTGTTATTTCTATTACATTCAGTAAAGGAGGTATAACAGGATGAGTGCATAGCTTGAGTGAAGATACAATCATTGGGGCACTCACCATTAGCTGGTGGCGTGATAGGCTTGGGCTTAGACACACACTTCCAGCTCTGTTTGAGTTGCTGGGTATGTGTAACATGAATAGCAAGATATGCAGTCTTGTCTCCACAATCTACATATTGGGAATATTGACCGGTTGGTATGGTACCCCAATTGCCACCTCTACATTCACAAGGGGGGCCGTACCGAGTTAGCATAAACCTGGTAGCATTAAATGGCTGAAGGCCACCATCTATGTTCTTAACTAAATGTATAAAGATACAAGCCCACCAGGGACTCGGGTGAATTATGGGCCACATGATGTGAAATTTGAGCTTAGCTCTTTATAAATTGTAATACCGACCAGCGTCACGATGAAAATGCAGCAAACAACAAAGGTGATGACAACAAAAGTGGTCAGAATTTTCAATCTTGAGCAATTCATGGAGCTGGCACCTGTGAAGAACTATTATTAATTTGTTTTACTAGTCTCTCTGGGAGGACTAAAGGCCTTTATAAGACGCTCTGGCAGCCACCAAGCGTTTCCTGCTTTAGTGTCATACACGCAGGCTGATCCCTGGCCCCAGATGAGGACAGGATCCGGGCCCTGTCACTTAGAAGTCAGGGGATCTTTCCATAGAGCCTGGGCATAACCATAGCTGGTTTGGGGGTGCCACGGGCGATCTGCAGCTGTTCTTTCTTGTTTATCCAAGATTAAGTAGTTGAGAACAAAGAGGGCATGATTTAATAAATTCTTTTGGTTACCAGGGAGTGGGAACAGGGCACCTCCAGTTGACTGTAATTTTATTAACATGTTTTTTAATGTTTGGTGTGCCCTTTCAACAATTCCTTGGCCTTGGGGATTGTATGGGATTCCTGTGACATGCTTGATCTTAAGTTGAGCACAGAATTCTTTAAAATGGGTACTAGTATAACCAGGCCCATTGTCTGTTTTGATAATTCTAGGTTGTGGTAAGGTTACTAAGCAATCCAAGACATGGCTGATAACATGGCGGGTGGCCTCTCCTGGCTGAAGGGATGCAAAAATGAAACCACTGAAGGTGTCAATGGTGACATGGACATACTTAAGTTTTCCAAAAGAGGGGATGTGGGTGACGTCCATTTGCCAAATTTCTCCAGGGATTAGTCCCCGAGGATTCACTCCCAAGTGCTGTTCAGGAAGAAAAGTCAAGCAGCTTTTGCAATTGCGGACTATTTGTCTTGCTTGTTCTCGGGTGATCTTAAACTTAAGCCTAAGTGTTAATGCATTAAGGTGATGTAAATCATGTGCTTGTTGAGCTAAGGCTACAGAGTCTTGGGAAAGTTCTTGAGTGAAGGCCACAAATCGTGTAGCACAATCTACAACATCATTGCCCTTTGCCAAAGGCCCTGGGAGGTCAGAATGTGCGCGGACGTGTCCCACAAAGAAAGGCTGAGAGCGTTTATGAATAAGGTTTCTGGAGAGC